CTGCAAGCGTCTTCAGGCTTGTGTGGCAAGTATTTTCAGACCTTCAAAATAGAAAACTTTACCATCTCTTCCTTTAAAATAGTAATCTAGGGCCAGCCGAGTGGCTCTGTTGGTTAAGAGCTCACTCAGGAGTGCGAGCTCTGAGCAACAGGGTCGCCGGTTCGATTCCCGGCCCGAGCTGAGCTGCCAACAGGTGGCAGGATAGCTCAGCTAAAAAAATAATAAAATAAAATAAAATAGTAATCTAATCCCTATCTGGTGCTATCTTTTGAAATCCTGTAGATGTGCCAACTAGCTCATTTTTTTCAGGTGACTGGGGGTCTGGTCACATCTTTGCAGGAAGGTTGGCTTACAGTCACAACTTCTGACTCAAGAATAGCTCCTTGGTGTAGCACCTGCCCCTGGGGACTGTGGCAGTAAGGACATGGTTGACCTTGGTGTGGCAACAATACTAGCCCTCTCAGACTTCAGTTCTTCCTGCTCTCCCACAGTTTCTGCTGCCCCTGCTGATTGAGAAAGTGGATTCCGAGATTCTGAGTGCCAAGCTGGATTCTCTGCAAACTCTGGTGGGTGATTGTTCTCCCTCTGGGGTCCAGTTGCCTTTAGCTCTTTCACTGCATTAATTGATTTCAAGTTTTTTTTCAAAATGTGTCCAAAATCCACACAAAAAAAGTTGATATCTTGACTATTTATGCATTTAATAACATTTTGAGCTGCTTTGTACATAAATGACATTATTTTTATTTTAAACCTTTGTTATATGTTAATAAATTTACCATTATATTGAATTTTAGCAAAAAATACTCAAAACATACTAAGTGGCATCAATTAGACTTAGGTATAGATAAATTAGAATCTAATGGCATTGATGACATAAAAAATTTATTACAAAATATTACACAATATGACATACAAAATATCTTTGTTGTTGATAGTGCAAGCCAAAGGAAAATGTATCCGGACATCTCGGCAGAAGAGTTAGACAAATTAAGAGTGCTAAAGGATTCTAGATTATTAGAGCGCCAGGGCAAGGTTCATTGGGCCTCAAAAGAGGGATACCGGGATCTGGGCCTGTATGTTGACCTAAAGGCCCCAGTTGCATATTGTCTTATCCAATAGTAATTGAGTGGCAGCCAAGGAAGGGCTGAACCATGGCTTCTTGAAGCTAGTTCTTCAACAGTCAGAGTGAGCTATTTTTCTGTGCCTTGGGTAGGACTGTTATGAAATCCTGCTTGTTTTTCTGCTGAGAGCCAGGCTCCTTCAGATGCCATTATGCTGAGGTGCCTGCATATCTTAGGAATTCTGAGTGTGTAATAGCTTTTACCTGTGTTTTCCTTGGCAGAATGCTTGCTGTGCTGTGTACGGACAAAAGGAACTGAAGGACTTTCTCCCCAGCCTTTGGGCTTCTATCCGCAGAGAGGTGAGTGTTACTTAGATAAACTCACTATTGTTGATTCCTAGTTGTCAGGCATCAGGGGAAATAATACACCCTGTGCTTTTCCCTCTGTTGCTGTGCCTGGTTATTCAGCAAGCAAGCAATGGGGCATACTTCTAGTTGAATGACAATGTAGAGTCCCTATGTGAGGGTCAGCCTCTTGGCGGTGGCACTTGATCACCTTTGCATGGTGCCCACTTCTGTCCTCCATGGTAAGGAGTATAGTCATGGTGCCTGTGGCACCATGCTGAATAGAAGGGGAGAGGAGGAGACCTGGGAGAGAGCATCCCAGTAGCCACTGGTGAAAGTTGGCATTCTGTTTCTCAGAAGTATGTGTATCAATCCCAGTGGGACTAAGGGCTTGGTGAGAATACACCAATTGAGAAGAAACTCATTTGAGGGGTTAATATCCATTGCTGTGCCCTAAAGATTCTCAACCCCACCCAAAGGAAATAGGCAGTGGGTGGGTGGGTGTCACCTGGTGCAGCCTCACCTCAGTAGCCATGGGATCCCTCCCTGACAGGTGTTCCAGACGGCAAGTGAGCAGGTGGAGGCGGAGGGCCTGGCGGCCCTCCACGCCCTGACTGCGTGTTTGTCCCGCTCTGTGCTGAGGGCTGATGCTGAGGACCTCCTTGACTCCTTCCTTAGCAGCATTCTACAGGGTAACGGGGCGTGGCAGCCAAAGGGGCGTGAGCACAAGAGAGCGGTCCCTCCAGGGCCACTGACCTTTCAGGCGTAGCCCCACCGTGTGCAGTGATTTGGGGGCTGGAGCCCTACTTGGAATTGAAAACAATTTCAGTGGTAACTGCTAGGAAACTGTCCCAGGTCTTAGTCTCCAACTTTTATGGACTGCGGGGGAGTCAGGCAGCGTTCGGCCTACTCCCAGGTCTGTGACGTGCTGCCTCTCTAGACTGCAGGCACCATCTGTGTGAACCGGACATGAAACTGGTGTGGCCTAGTGCCAAACTGTTGCAGGCAGCTGCAGGTGCCTCTGCCCGGGCCTATGACCACATCACCAGCAACGTACTGCCTTTGCTGCTGGAACAGTTCCACAAGCACAGTCAGGTAAGCGAGTGGAATCTGTTGAGGAAATGATGGGACCCCTTGCTAGAATCCCTTTCTCACAAAGACAGCACTAAGTGTTGGGCTTGGGCTCAGATAGATTTTGGGTTTTGCTTCTATTAACTGATGCTGGTTCCCTTGTTTACTCTTTTCCTGACACTTTTACATAAAAGAATAATACACTCCACTTTCAAAGTAGCAGAACTGAAATCCTTTAAAACATTCTTTGACTCCAGTATCCCTTAAAACATGCAGAGCAACCAGCGGCGGACAATCCTTGAAATGATCCTGGGTTTCTTGAAGCTGCAACAGAAATGGAGCTATGAAGACAAGGGTGAGGTCACCTTCCAGAATACTGTAACCCTATACAGGATGACACGCAAAGAGTGCCATGGAATAGTCTAGAACAGTGGTATTGTCGTTCTGAGGTTGTAACATAACAAAATATTTAATGGGTGAGACCTGTTTATTTTTTTCCCAGTGTATTCCTGGACACCCAGTGGATTAAGCTCTTTAAATCTGCCTCGGGTTGTCTTTGCATCATTGCTGAGTTGGGGCTTCCCTCTAATCTGGACTGTCTCTCCCTAGGTGAGAGGCCTCTGAGTGGCTTCAAGGACCAGCTGTGCTCACTGGTATTCATGGCCCTGGCAGACCCCAATTCCCAACTTCAGCTTGTTGGCATCCGTACACTCACAGTCTTGGGTGCCCAGCCAGGTACATTTCAGAAAGAGAAAAGATAGGGGTATTGGTCCCTTCCTTGTGATTTTCTGTCTTGAGTGAAGAGCAGTCTTAATTCCCTGGTTCTCACTACAACTCTGACTGATTTGGGATTTCTGATGGGACTTTCGGAAGGGTTGTGGTGACTACAGCGGAAGAAAGATGGTTCGTTTTCCCTTCTAACACAGATCTCCTGTCTTCTGGGGACTTGGAGCTGGCAGTGGGTCACCTATACAGACTGAGCCTCCTGGAGGAGAATTCCCAGAGTTGGTGAGAATCTAAAGCAGCAAGATGAAGCGAGCGGTTCCAGGGCTCTGCCTCTGAGCCTTGGCTCTCCCTAGGGGAGGTGGGCCTTGTGCTTGGCTCTGACTGCCAAGTGGTTGGACATGTGGGACTGTTCTCTTTTCTTGGGCATTAAGAAGCCCTGTCCAACTAGGTGCTTGAGTCCTGCTTTTCAGCAAGGTGGCCTCAAGAGCCCATGCTCCTGAATCTGCTTAATGGCAGGTCTAGACAAGAGAACAGTGGGCCAAGGCTCAGCTAACGCTCCTCTGCCCTGTGCCCCCAGCAGGGTGGCAGCACTGGAAGCATCAGGAACCCTGGCCACTCTTTACCCCGTGGCCTTCAGCAGCCACCTAGTACCCAAGCTTGCTGAGGAGCTGTGCATGGGTATGTGTCTCCGATCTCCTGTGGCCTGTCCCTTCCCAAGAAGGCTGGGGGTGGGGTGGGGGGAGGCCTTCATGCTTGCTGTCACACAGTGAAACCTCTTCTGGGTTGCTTTCAGGGGAGTTGAATTTAGCTAGAGAGGATGAGCCCAACAAAAGTTCCCGGTATCTGCACTGTCTGCAAGCCTTGTCAGCTGTATCAGCACATCCCAGCATTGTCAAGGAGACCCTGCCTCTGCTGCTGAAGCATCTCTGCCAGATGAACAAAGGTAACTACCAGGATTGATCCTCAAGGAGCCAAGTTGAATGGAAGTCGTAGTCAAGTTTGGAGTTGATGCCTTTAAGGCAATGGTTCCAGTGGTGGCTATACAGAAGTGTCCCGTGGGAACTTTTAAAATAAAATATTGGTGATAATGATAGGCCTCACTCAGTCCAACTGAATCAGTCACTAAGGAAGAATGGGACTTGGGCAACAGTAATTACTAAGAGTGATTTTAATGTGGAGCCAGAATTGAAAAGCACCACTCTAAGACCATGCTATTCAAATTTTGGTCCATCAACCAGCAGCATGGGCATCACCAGGGAGCTTGTTAGAAGTGCAGGATCTCAGGCCCCACTGATCAGAATCTACATTTTAATAGGCTCTCTAGGTAACTCATATGCACTCTAGTTTGAGAAGCACTGCTCCAAGGCATAAGTGTCAGTGGCTGTTCCTACTACAAACCTATGCAAGTTCACCATGGCCCTCACTAATTTCTAAGCTCCCTCCTTTGCCTGCCAGCCCTGTGGTCAATCCAGTTGACAGTGGATGATCTGTTACATGGTAGGAAGAACGTGACTCGGAGTGTAGCCTGGGCCAGATCCCTGACTTTGCACTTACTGTGACCCTAGAAAAACCACTGGTGGTTTCATTGAGCCTCCACATCTTCCTCTATAAAATGGGGGGAATGATCCTTTTAGGGTTATGAAAAATGAGATGTATGTGAATGCTTCTGCTGCAGAACCTGGCACAGAGCAGGTCTCAGCTCCGAAATCTGAATAAATGAAAAAGAACACCCAAGAGAATAAAGTGACTTGGCTCTTTAATAAGACACTCTTGGTCACTCACCTTTGATTGTTCTTCCCGTCTGCTCTATCTGAAATACCTGGAAGTGCTTTTAGGAAAACATTACAGAGAACACTTTCTCACCACACAGGGAATATGGTGACAGGACCCAGTGAAGTTATTGCTGTCTGTCAGAGCCTCCAGCAGGTGGCAGAAAATTGCCAGCTGGACCCCGAGAGCTGCTGGTATTTCCATCAGACAGCTGTACCTTGCCTGCTTGCCTTGGCTGTGCAGGCTTCCATGCCAGGTAACTCTCCACCTGACCTACTCCTCTGGATTTCGATGGTGTTGAATAGCACTGCCACCCTCAGTGTGTCGCTGGTATTGCATTTTGTACCAGCAGAGAATTATTTTGAGTCCTTTATCCCTGGAGTGAGATTTCACTTCAAGCAAAGGGTGCTAACCTGACCAATGGCAAAACCCAAAACCCATTAGTGTTAGCAATGCTCAAAAGGATGCACACCTTTTCCCCCTTTAATTGCTATGTAATTAGTTAGAATTTGTCTCTGGAGTCATGCAGACCTGGTTGGCTTTCATCTTCAACTCCATCACTCACTAACTTGGGTGAGGATATTTAGCTTTTCTAAGCCTGTTTCCTTGCTTGTAAGGGGGGAGATAAAGAGAACTATCTGTATCACAAGGCAGCTGTTAAGGGTTAAATAAAATAATGTATAATGCCTGGCAATACAATAATGCATGTTTGTATCGTAGCTTGATGTATGGTAGCTATTATAATACTAAGGACCCATGAAGATAAACCCATGTTATCTTTCAAACATTTGAAGAGACTAACGTAACTTTCTCATTTCTCATAACGTAACATTTCTGTTAAAAATGTTCATACTCACTGGCTTTGTTTTCCATTGTTGTCCAGTCTAAGGATTGTGCACAAAGTTCTCAAGAACGCTCTGTGGCCCACATGAGACCGCTTCTGCCTCTGGGGCCGTGCTGGTTCTCAGGGCTGCAGCACTACTAGAGGACAGGTTAGAAACCGCTGCTGTTGTGACTAGAGGCAAGCTGCAGTCACGGTGACAGGACCTAATCATCCAACCCATAGTCATGGCCTTATGATTCTCTGTGTGTGTGTGTTTTGGTTTGGTTTTGCAGAGAAGGAGCACTCAGTTATGAGGAAGGTGCTGTTGGAGGATGAGGTCTTAGCTGCCATGGTGTCTGTCATTGGCACTGCCACCACCCACTTAAGCCCTGAGTGAGTATCATCACGGATGTGCCTTGATCCCAGGGAGAAGAAGAGCGATCTTGGGAAGCAGCAGCAAGTAGCTGCCTTCTGCGCTAGCCTTTTACCCAGAATTAAACGTGGAGGCAGCTACTTGTCTTGTAAGTTTTGCTGGCAAAGTAAGAGGAAGGGGCTTGTAGCACCATGGACTGTGGGGGTACATGAGCCATGGTCTGATGGTTCTTAGCTGCAGATGTGCGTAAGAATCACCTGTGGAGCATTTAAAATATATATATATATTGAGTTTTTTCACTAGATTGTAAGTTCCTAAATAGGGATTGATCTGTCTGGCTCACTGCTGTATCTATCACCAGGGCCTAGAATGGGAATGGTTCCTGGCATATAATATGTGCTGCATTAATCATTGTTTGTTTGTTTTTTTAAGATTTTATTGGGCAATTGGGGAAGGGGACCAGCCAAGTTGTTGTTCTTCAATCTTTGTTGTGGAGCTCGTAGCCTTAAAGCTCAAGGTGCTGTGTTCAATCTTAGTTGCGGGTGGGCGTAGCCACCATCCCATGCGGGAGTCGAACCAGCAGCCTTTTGTTAAGAGCACACGCTCTATCTACTGAGCCATGTGGGAGGCAGCTCAGCTCAAGGTGCCAAGTTCAGTCTTTAGTTGCGGGCGGGCATAGCCCACCATCGAACAGACAATCTTGTTACACCAGCTGAGCCATCCTGCCACCTGTTGGCAGCTCAGCGATAGCTCAGCTCTGGCGCTGGCCCATGTGGGAATCGAACTGGCAGCCCTGTTGCTCAGAGCTCACACTCTTAAGCCAACTGTTAACCAACTGAGCCATTCGGCCAGCCCAGAATTAATCATTGTTGAATGTGTGAAGGGTCATGCTTTGGCCCATTGACTCAGTGACTAATGGGAACCCCTGGCTCCTTGGCGTAATACCTAGTGCTTTACCCCTAGCTTAGCTGCCCAGAGTGTCGCCCACATTGTGCCCCTCTTCTTGGATGGCAACATCTCCTTCCTGCCTGAAAACAGCTTCCCTTGCAGATTCCAGCCATTCCAGGTGAGGGTCTGATGGATCAAATGGGGGAGAATCCTGGGATTTCTGTCCTTCAAATTTCTAGGCTAATCTGGGGTGGGTATCAGGGAAGACAAGCTTATTGCTGGCCGGACAGGCTCGGTAAGGCTCTTCTTCCTTTACAGGATGGCTCCTCAGGACAGAGGCGGCTGGTTGCACTGCTTATGGCCTTTGTCTGCTCCCTGCCTCGAAATGTAAGTGAACACATTAGGGGAGTACCCTTCCCTGACAAGGGGAGGTGGGTCCCACGGGACTGCTGGGCTGAAATTGTCATAGGCTAAGCTGATCTACTTTGCCCACCAGAGAATTTAGTTCTCATCCATCCTGGCCCCTGCTGCCACTTGCTGCTGGGTATCTCTTTGAGTCCAAGTGTTCTCTGGGCCCATGACATGACCAGTTTTCTGTAGGTGGAAATCCCTCAGCTGAACCGACTCATGCGGGAGCTTTTAGAGCTGAGCTGCTGCCACAGCTGCCCCTTCTCCTCCACTGCCGCTGCCAAGTGCTTTGCAGGACTCCTCAACAAGCACCCTGAAGGTACTGGAAACCTCCCTGAATCAATTACTGATGAAGTCTTGAAGTTCAGTCCTCATTCTTTTATAAAAAGGAGCTTGCTAGTAACAGAATAGGGCTTCCCAAGGGACAGCCTTTGGGATAAGAGTCAAGACCAGAGTTGGGCAAAACATTACAGGACTTAAGAAGATAAGTGGGTACAAGCAGAGTGCTCTGTCTAGTTCTGTCATCCTACTTTCTACAGGGAGTTGTTAGAGCTAATTATTAAAAGTAGACAACTCTTTTCAGATGCCAGCATCTCTGCATTATGAGAATCCCAGGCTCTCGTGCTGGTGGGCCAAGTCCACAACCAAAATATTGTTCTTTTCTAATGACTTCTCAGGGAGCTCTACACTGAGATGATCTACATTCTTTGTTGTTAAAGGGGAAATACGTAGACTTTGCATCAGCATTTTCTCCCTGCTTTTTAGGACAACAGCTGGATGAATTCCTACAGCTGGCTGTGGACAAAGTGGAGGCTGGGCTGGGCTCTGGGCCCTGTCGTAGTCAGGCCTTCACACTGCTTCTCTGGGTAATGAGTTGGAATGGATTCTGGTTACCCAGAGACAATTATGTCTGGTTAAATAAAATTTCTCCCATTTGACCTGGAACCATAAGCATGCTTCTCGGGGTTCTGGAATTTGAGTGTCATGCCCTGACCATTCTCGTTTCTGATTACAGGTAACCAAGGCCCTAGTGCTCAGATATCATCCTCTCAGCTCCTGCCTTACAAACCGGGTAAGTCCATTTTGGAGATAGGAGAACCTAGGACCTAAACAGGAACTTCCATTGACCCTATTCCTCCCAGAAATGGCTGCCATCCTCCTTGTGGGTATTTAAGATTGTTCTCCCCTGAAGTACCTCAAGAGCTCTCTTCTCCAGCTCATTGGCCTCCTGAGTGACCCAGAACTAGGCCCAGCAGCAGCCGATGGCTTCTCTCTGCTCATGTCTGACTGCACCGATGTATTGACCCGCGCTGGCCACGCTGAAGTACGGATCATGTTCCGGCAGCGTTTCTTCACAGATAATGTGCCTGCTCTGGTGCAGGGCTTCCATGCTGCTCCCCAAGGTGAGGAGAGTCTAAAAGGCCCCAAATGTACAGCCCTCTCCTTTGCTCGGGCCACCTTCTCTGAAATCATTGAGGACCTCAGTGCTTCTTGAGAGACGTAGTGTGGTCCATGCCTAAAGGACTAAACTTCCAGATTCCTGCCCCACTGTTTTCCTTTGGTGGGCATATCTTGCTTATTCTGAGCTTGAGGGGCCTTTTTTTTTTTTTTCTTAACCTCTTTATAGGCTGATGTCCCAGCTTCATCAGAGATTGGAGTTGAATTCTCAAGCTGTATGTCTAAGCCCAGTTTCTTTCTCCCCTAAGCTTTTCCATTTTTTACAGATGTGAAACCAAATTACCTGAAGGGTCTGTCTCATGTACTTAACAGGCTGCCTAAGCCTGTGCTCTTGCCAGAGCTGCCCACGGTAAGCAGTCAGAGCCTCTACGCAAGGGACCAAGCCATGTCCTCGAGCTGGGCTATGGGGGAGGCGGGGGGAGAAGCAGGCTCATCACCTGTGTGCTCATCCCCACCTTTCCTGTGGCCCCTTAGCTGCTTTCCTTGCTGCTGGAGGCCCTGTCTTGCCCCGACTGTGTGGTACAGCTCTCCACCCTCAGCTGCCTTCAGCCTCTTCTATTGGAAGCACCCCAAGTCATGAGTCTTCACATTGACACCTTCGTCACCAAGTTCCTGAACCTCAGCTCTAGCCCTTCCATGGTGCGTTGAGCCCAGCAACTTTCTGGCACCTATGGCTGTCCTTCACAGCTGTCCTCTCACCTGCTTACGGTTGTGTTCCAGGCTGTCCGGATTGCTGCTCTGCAGTGTATGCACGCGCTCACTCGCCTGCCCACCCCTGTGGTGAGTACCCCAGCGGTCCCTCTCTGGCCTGGAAGCTTCAGAGCCAGAGAAGTACTTTTTTGCCTTAGGTAAGCAGGACTGGCCACCCTGCTGTGTGACTGAGGTATGAATGGCAAGGTCCAGATAGGCCATCCTGCCACCTAGCATCCTCTGGCACCACTGAAATAGAACAGGAAGATTATTAGTTGTAGAGTCAGAGAAGCGGCTCTTTTGGTTGCCATGGTTGAGCAAGGCTGAGATTCACTCTTAACTCCACAGCTGCTACCGTACAAACCACAGGTGATTCGGGCCTTAGCCAAACCTCTGGATGACAAGAAGCGACTGGTACGCAAGGAAGCAGTGTCAGCCAGGGGAGAATGGTGAGTTTCTAGGTCATGGGGAAACGGGGGGTGGAAATGAGCCTCACCACGAATGCTGTCAACATTCTTCTTGCCTACAGGTTTCTGCTGGGGAGCCCTGGCAGCTGAGCCCTGTGTCCTGGCCTACACTGTTCTGACAGACAATCTAACCTGGAGTTACTAACTAATCAAGCCATCTTGCCAAGGCAGGGAGACATGGGAATCCTGACTTATAATCGATTTGTAAAGTAACTAAGTGTGAGACTACTTGTGTTGAAGAAAGATCTTGGGGCTCTTCCATTTGTATGTCAGAAAGAGATATGCTGCTGAGCAGTGAGTGCAGATGAGTGTGGCTCTGAGGAACTGATGATGCATGTATGTATGTATACTGCTGGAGAATAAAGATTTCTTTTGATAATGGGGCCGCCAGATATTCCTCTCCCCACACGCTTATGCACCAGCAGCACATAACCAGAATCGTCACTGTAGAAAGAACAGTCATGATAGGGATTAGCCAAGAGTTCGTCAGGGCATCCAACCCCTCCACGTAGTGCACAGGTGGCATTACCAGAACACCGACTCACTAGGCCTTGACCCTGACTTACCCTTTCCCTGCCCTAATGTAGGCGGCAACCAGTGAGACACTGCATATTTTTAAAAATCAAATTCCTTTATTTTTTTCCCCTTCAGCAGCATGTGAGAAGTGGCAGTGACCTCAGCAGTAGGCCTGGTATCTTTGCCCTGTTGAGAAGCCAGGATCTCAGCTTGACCATTCAGGTGTTTTCTCAGGCAGCACGTGGAAGAGGTGGTGGCCAACCCCCAAGCTGTAATGCGGAGGCTGGGGTCAGCACCCGGCAAGGGTGCTAGCTGCCTGATCTCCAGTCTATGGCTGGAACTTCTGTTGGCCTGAGTAAAGGGACATCAGTCCTAGGATTTTTCCACCTCGTGCTTTGTTTCTGCAGCGGCCAGGAGATAGGTCCTTGAGTTGTCCTTGCATGGTACCCTAAGGCAGGCCCACTGGCTCTTTGCTCAAGATTCCAAAAAGCTACTCTTAGAGGCCCTTGAGACAACACAGGAAGCAGGGTGATGCTCAAGTTGTGGCTGACAATCCAGCTCACACTGCCATCACAGAGGCGGAGTGAGCGGTCACCCAGGGAGGGGGGTCCCAATTCATTCCATTCCCATGGGGCAGGTGACTGGAAGGTAACAGCACCCGAGTAAGCCAGTGCCTATGAGAGAAGAAAGAAATGTCTCTGAGTTCCAAGAGTTGTCAGGCTTCCTGATCCTCACTGCTCAGCAAGGATACATCAAGGTATCCTGAAGCTACCTTGGCATTAATCACAGATGTAACAAAAGTCCTATTTGTCCAAAAAATCTGCCCTCTAGTGCCTGGGAGGCCTTTAGAGCTAATCTTCTAAGGGGACACTGCAAGCACAGTGACAACCAGGAATGTAATGAGGATGGGAAATTGAGGTGGGCAGGTACGTATGGTCAGCTACCTATTACCGTCTCAGTCGTTGCAATTGGAAAAAGGATTTTCCTTTGTCTCTTGGGCTGAGGGAGCTAGCTTCATTTATTGTCTTAAGACCTCGGTCACAAAGATTACTTCAATCCCAGCAATTACTGGCTTGAACTCCAGACACTGCCATACAAATGAAAGGTGACTGGTGGCTGTCTAGCCTACGTAGAGGTCCCTTCTTGAGAACAGCTTTCTTGGGATTTCATTACGTCATCTGTATACCTTGTCTGCTACTTAAATCACACAATGCCGGCCTTATGCTCCTTTGGCTCAAATGAGCAATAATCTATTCCTAGAGTCTGCATTGTCCCAATATGGTAGCCACTAGCCACATGTGCCTTTTTAAATTAGTAAAATTAAATTAAAAATTGAGTTCATCAGTGCATTATCCACATTTCAAGTGCTCACTGGCCACGTGTGGCTGGCTAGTGGCTAATGTCTTAGCATAGGTATAGAACACCTTTCTCATTAGAACTCTGTTAGACAGCCTTGGTCTAGGTGTTTTACTTTACCTTCCTGTGTCCACACCCAGGAATAACTTCCAGTTGTCCAAGCAGCCGTAGTTGTAATGATTCCTAAAAACCTAGGGCCAAGAAAAACATAAGTTTCTACAAACCCCTTTTACTTAGTCCCCTTCTAATTTTTGAGCCTAAACTGGCTAAGCTAAAGCTCAGCTAGGCAAGTTCTGGCCTTTTATGATGCCTGCCCTAGTCGGCCCTGACCACGGCCTTGTTTATAGGATGGCAGGTTCAGTTGCCCACCCACAGCTCCATCCCCAGCCCTCAGTCCTACTCACTCTGCCCTTGGCCTGCAGCCGACGTCTCTCCTTCTTATTGATGTGCCTTTCGATACTAGTCTCACCTCGACTGATGAGAACAGCATGCCATACAGTTAGGGCACCGAGGGCAAGTGCCACAGAACTAAGAAAAGGGGCAAAGATTGATAGGTAGCTTAGAGGGGTAGAGGCTATGTCTGAAATTAAGCCGGGCAATAATGATTGGATAGGAACCTCTGCCTAAGTCTTATCTCCCAGCCTACACATCCCACGTGAAATTTTACTTCATTACATCTATAAAAAGCATCAATGAAAAAGCATGGACCAAGAATAAATTATGTGGAAAGGAGGGAGGGAATAAGTCTGTATTACTACTAAAAATATTCTGCATTTCTTAAAATACCCATGTTTGGGAGACACTAGGGGCTGGAATGGGATGGCATAAAATTCAGATTCCAGCTCTTACCATTCCTAGCTGTGTATCATGGAACAAAATTACTTCACCCCTCTAATAATTTTCCATTTTCCTCATCTATAAAATGTAGTCACCTACTGTTTAGGTAGGAGTTTAACTTACCTTGGCACATAACAAACACTCAATGCCAATATCCTTAGTGTTCCCTTCCCCAAAATGCTGAAAAAAAGTAAATGCTGACTCTCTGCCAACCTAAAATAGACTAAGAAGAGCAGCAAGCAGTTCATACAGGGATGGGCCGCTGTGGGGACCTGATAAGGTTTTTCTGAAGCTGCCCCTCCCATAAACTGTCAAAAATGAGAGTTCGATACCTGCACAGGAACCAGAGGTAGACAAGACTCTTGTGAGTCACTCTTTCTCCAAAGGAGAAGGTGGGTGGTGGGGTCTGGTGATAAGTCTGTTAAGACAAAAAAAACAGCCAAGTCTGGCTCATCTGCTCTGCTGGTCTCCACCAGAGCCCCCAGCACCTTCAGGCAGGGAAGTGATCCAAGCCCAGGATGAGAAAATAGGGGTGAAGCCACAGAGGAGTCAGGGGAGCAGCCAGATGGGCAAGACCAAGCCCAGCGGCATCATCATGTGGACAAACACTGGGCAGAGCAGGTCTGAACAGGATGGCAAAGCACAGGAGGACTGACCCTGGGCCGTTAGATCTGACAACACAAATGGGGCTCCAGGGGAAGCCACGCCACTCCCCAGCTAGAACTCCTTCACCATGTGGCTGCAACCCCTAAGAGAGGACCAGACCCACACCCACAATGGAATGAAAGCCAGGGGCAGAACTGGGAGCTCCGCTAAGAACCAAAAGGGCAGCAGAGGTACATTCATTAGCCTAGATCTGCTCAGAGTAAGGAGTCCTAAAACTCCAAGGGAGAAGGAACGGTGCACACAGACCAGGAGTGAAGATGATCTGACTAGACCAGCCTGATCTGTGTCCCCTGGAGCCCCTGTACACAGACTGACATAGACTCCTTGCTGCTCAGGCCATCACCAAGGCAGAGTCCTTGCTCAGCCCAAAGAAGGTGATAATAGGATAGAGCCAAAAACTCATATACTAGGGACTTCCGGCCTGCCCCTAGGCCACTTAGTCTGACAGACTCTCAGAACACCCTTGATCCAGTCTCAAGCAGCCCCTCAGCCAGTCTCTACAACTCAACCAACAGGTGGGCCCCAGTTGCCTGAGCAACTCTATACCCCCTGGCCTGAGCAGCAGGAGGCAGTGGGGTGGGGACGGCCCACCTGGTTGGCAACCGCCTGTAGTTTGTTCTTGTCGAGCTGTTTCATTTTCTAAGGGGATGGAAAACAGTGCTGGTTATACTCTCAAGCCTCCAGCATGGAGGTGCTATCAGCCCCTCTCCTTAGGGACAGATTCCACACCTCAAGTGCTCTCTACTGAGCTGCCCTGCTCGTAACTGGGCTCACCTCGATGGCAGCGTAAGCCTCCCGGAAGAGGTCCCAACTTCCGTAGCTGCAGTAGACACATCCCAGAGTCATGAAGAAGCAGAAGGAGAAGAAGTACCGATGGTTATAGTGGCCCACACAGTTGTTCAGCCAGGCTGGTGGGGGAAGGATTAAGGACAAGATCAAACACACAACTTGAGGGTATGTCCAGGCCTTTCGGGTTCATCCTTGCTTCGTGACGACATCATCCAATACCAGGGCTTCCGGTCACCAAAAACTATTTTCCAAAGGCAGGAAAATATGGGACTTTTCCAGAGGTTGAGGTGAAAGTATTAAAAAGCTTTTCAGAGCCCTCACAAGTCCCAGCAGGAAATCACGAAAACGGAAATCCTTCATTAAAATGAATCTGCCAGTACTTCACCCTAGCTGGGGTTAACCAGACATCTGTATGGGGCCAATGGTTTTATCTGGTACCCCCAGAGGACAACCAATGAAGCCCAAACATCTCTTTCCATCCAACAGATGCTAGCATGACAGTCTACAAAAGAACAGATGTCTTGCTCCAAGGAGATCTGTCCCAGGCCTGTAAGCATCCTGCTTCCCCCAGCAGGGTCCGCCCCACAGTTCCTCTTCCACTAACTTCTCATGAGCCCAGTGTTCTCTGCAGGGAGATGCTAGAAGCCTTAGTTTTGTGGCCCTTAACCCTGTGCAGTGCTCTGGAGCCAAAGAAGGTGGCCTCAGGCAGAAGAGATAATAAAAGGATACGGCAGTGATGGTCCATCTTCAGCACACACCTGTGAGGGAGGGACACAGGCTCTGTTACGGTGGCCAAGGTTCTTGAGATGTCAGTGCCAATCCTTTCCTACAAGGACCAGCATCCTGCTGAGGTGGAAAGGGCACAGACTTTGAAGACAGCCAGGCCTTGCTTCAAACCCTGCTTCAATGGCTACATGATAACGAGACAAGGTAACATCTTTCTGAACCTTAGTTTCCCAAGTGGTGATAATGCCTAACTCAGGATCATCCTGAGGTATGACACAGAGGGCACACTGCCTGGCACATGACAGGTGCTTCATAAATGTCTTTAACTCCAGGTCTAGGTTTTGCCCTAGGGCTACAACAAAAGGGCCACAGCTGGGGTTCACAGAGAGCAAAGCCAAGACCCACCTATTGCAGATGCTGCAGTGGTGTGTTCGGGCTGGCTTGGGGTAAATGCACTTCTTACAGATGGAGACTGTGGCGATATCATTCCTGCCCTGTGCAAAGAAAGAGAAGTATGAAAACTGAGGCAGCATGAGTTTCAAACCTCAAAAGACACCAAGGCACTCTCCCTCCCCACTCCTGGGCCAAGCTCCCATGGCCTGCAGTCCTTTCCCTCCTCCAAGCCCCGGTGGGGACCCACCTGGGGTGGATATCCAGGTGGAGTGGTGATGGCCTGGTAGTAATGAAAGACGATGAGGATCAGATTCCAGTGACTATAGAAGAAATGCCAGCAGAGTCGTGGGACTGAGTAGGTTCGGAGGATGAGGGGCAGGATACATAGGTAGGCGATGGCCACAATGGAGCTGGTCAGCACAATCACCAGCACCACAAACACCTGCCAATACCAGGGAGGTTAGGGAGATGCAGCGAGAGAGCTTGCTAACACCCACAGTAACTCAGAAATGTCCCTGGGATAGGGCCTGGTGTGGGTCCATCAGACACATGTCCCTCTACTACCCCAAAACATTCCTCTTTCTGAGCATCACTCACCACTCCACACCAGCGGATCACGTTGTCCACTAGCCAGTAGATGGGCTCAAAGGCAGCATCAACAGCAGTGTCACCGCCCCCGAAGGAGTTGTAGATCAGGGAGCGCACGCAGACCTTGCCATAGCGCCAGCGCTGCACCAGATCCCGGAGCAGAGGGGGACAGCGGCGCCTGGTGCCCAATAGCAGAAGCAGGCGCAGGCAGAGGCGGGCGGGGCCCAGCAGCAGGCTCCGCTGGCCCTGCATGGTTCCTAGAAGAGCACACCTTTGTAAGTGCCCAGCCTGGGTCCTGTCCCTCCCTATCCCACCAATGGGGAGAGCCTGAGCACCAGCTGAGAGGCAAAGACCTAAGACTGAGGCCCAGCTAGGCCAGTCATCAGCTGTGGGAAGTAGGAAAGTCACTTCACCTCTCTACAGAACGTGTGGTGCCAGTGTCCCAACCAGATCACAGGGAGTAGGGTCTGGAGGTTCTGAGCAGGCAGAAGTCATACTTACATTACACCATGTGGTTGCACAGCAAATCCAAGATGGTGCACACCTAGAGTAAAGGGCCACAGTAAGCAGGCGAAAGAGAAGGAGGCAGCTCTGCCAACGTAGGGTCTTTGGAGTTGTCTGTGTAGCCGGACCACCGGAGCACAGCCAACGTACACAAAACTGCCCACTGTGTCTCTGTGGGCATGGCCACAGTAGCAGGGGTTTCCCGGGTCCTTACCTGTCCTAGCCCTTCGACCTACTTCCTAACAACTGCTCTTCACCCAGGAACAACCCGGGGGGTGGGGGAGGGACTGCATAGCGTGTGGACCCTGCACCTCACTCTTCCCTGGCGCTAAGGATCCTTCCTACTCTGTCTGGACTGACATTACATAACCAACCTGGTAGTACGGAGTGTCTCCTGTCACAACAGCTCAGCTGCCCCTTGCATGACATAAGATGCTTTGTCTCAATTCCAGTCCCAGCCCCACCCCAAAGATACAGAAGCCAAGACAACTTTGGGTATTCAGAGCAGAATAACAGCGCAGACGGGAGGGGCGGGGGGGGGGGGGGGGCTCCATGCCGTGGCTCATGAAAACCACAAGGCCTGCCCTTGCAGCTGAGTCGCTCCTGCCCTGTTCTAGCTACGCTCAAGAGCCTTCTCCACGGCTGCTGCTCTTGGCCCCAATCTTCCCTTTCATCCCTTTTAGGTGATTTCTACCTCATCCAACAGCCGTGGGAGGCCAGCTGCCCAGGCAATGCCCACACAGAAGGCAGATTCCTTCAATGACCGTCTCCTCATTCTGCAGATTAAAGTCCTTACTAGAAAAGAAATTACCTGATTTTCCCCTAGGACAGAGTACTGTCCTCAGCAACTCCACTGACTTATTTAACAGGCAGCTCAAAACCCAGCAGAAACTGGAGGAGGCTGCTCCACTGTAGGGATGGTTTCAGTTCAGTAACTGGAGCAAGGTACTCTCCTTGCATCCTGGCTCATCACCACAAGAGGCCTTTCAAAGAAGACCTTAATTACCTCCTTCCACAAGCCCTGTAACGACCTAAGGGAAAAAGAAATCCAGCGGACAAGGCCAGCAGAGAAAGAGAAGAAAGACAATTCAGTGGGGACCTAATCTCAGCACCAGGATAAAGAAACTGGCCATTCCCATATCACCTCCTAGGAGCTAGAGAGTTAAGAAGCAGTGAAGAAGGGAGAAAAAGGAAAAGCTCAGACTTCCTACCTCCTTTGAGTTGGACTCCTATTGTTTGGAACCATGATCTGGCTTAAAACATGAATTTTCAAAACAGTATATATGGCCACTACAATCAAACGTTTAAAAGTGGGACAAAACATTTTACCCCACAACAAATCCAAATGACTTAAGATTGTCCACACCACTGTTCATTCCCTTACTATGGCTAATGGAGAGTTTCCTACCTGCTAAAATACTTTGTATAGCAATAGCTTGCAAATAAGATGCATTCCTCACCTGTAGTAAACACAAATTATATGCCATCTCTTCTGTCTACAAAAAAAACCCCCAAAAATTTCCTTCCCAGATTCTCCACTTTTTTTTGTTTTTTTTTGTAAACCACCTCCAGAATCCCTGAGCTCTACAGGAAATGCCTGCCCCAAGGACTGGACGTACCAACTCTCATCTGCCCCATAACTTGACTACTTAGGGTTCAATTCTGCCCGTAAGTGGTTCTGTGATCTTGGACAAATCACCAAATCCTGCCGGGACTCAATTTCCTTGTGTTACCATTCAGTGAGGAGATGGAAGTAAATGGCTAAGGTCCCTCCAGTTCTAACCCTTTATGATCCCATAGGTATGCTTGGTAAGGTCTAAATGAAACATCTGTAAAGTGCTTAGCATGATACCTGGCTCATGGACGTACGTGCTCAATAAATACTTGTTGAATGAATGACCTGAGATGCAGAAGTGGAGAGGCTGGTCAGGTGTCTGTCTGTCCTACAAATAACAGCCAAGGGCATTCCTGCCAATGGGGTAACATTTAAATAAATGTCTCCTGCTGCTATTCTTTATTTTTAGAATCATAGCCCTTAAGAGCTAGAAAGCATTTTAGATAACAAGTCCAACCAAAAATCAACCCACACATGTAAACAGAAAGCTTGTAGATGCAGAGCTACAGATCAGATTTGAGTGAACAAGGTCTCAAGCCAAGGCCCCACTCATTTTAGTTAGTGGGGTTTGGGCAAGCCAGGGAGATATACAGTCCATGGGGCCACAACTGAACTTACGGAGTTTTCCTCTCAGGACACTGAGTTAAAGCAGAACTTGAAAAATTGTGACGGGGGTGGTGAAGAGTGGGTACCAGAGTGAAACGGGGAAGAAAAAAGAGCAAAGCACAGCTTCACTATCATCCCAAGTACAAGCCCTGAACACTCTGATCCCTTAGTAGGAGCCACAGGCCATATTGCCATCTGCCACCAGATTAGAGGGGATTGCAGACCACGGCACTCTCCTCTTCCCAAGGCTCTAAACCACCATCTGTTTCCCATGGGGAAGTGGGATTGGAGGCTGGCGGCTTACACGGGGGAAGAAGGGATTCCAAAAGCCACCAGAAGGCAGAGGAAACTGATGCAAGTCGTGACAAATCTCATCTGGACAAAGATGCTGCTCTCAGGATGTTGGCAATCTCAAGCAGTACGTGTCAACCATCAGTAAGAGCAACATTTTATTCATGTGCAGACTTCCCTTTCGGACTAACATGCTGGGAAGAGAAAAAGTTAAGGAAGGGCCCACACGACTCTTGAAAGGATACGACTGTAAGATCGGAAGCTGCAACCGGGTAAAGCTTTTATTTCTCAATGAGGGCGGTATGGCCAAAGTGCGATGGACTGGAAGTCAAAAAACTTGGGTTCCGGTTTGGGCTCTACCTTAAACTACCTTCGAGACATTGGACAATTCAAATCCTATTTCTGGATCCAAGTTTGCAAATCTGTGAAATGGACAAGATGGGCTGGTCGGCCTCCTTTCAGCCTCGCGCGTTACGGCTGCCCGGAGGGCACAAAAAGGGCACGGACGTGCACGGCTAGGCGAGGAGACAGCAGGAAGCCGGGCTCACGATAAGGCCCGGAACAGGGCCCACCCTGGAAAAAGGGACAGGACTGGGGAGTAAAGGCCGCGGCTTCGCTCTTACCTGCCACCTGCCGACTCCCCAATCAGCCAAAACGCGCCCGCGGCCTCGGCTCACCGCCACCCCCTCCAGCTCGGCGCCCCACGGCAGCCCGGCTCAATCCAACCAACCATGGCCCGCCGCCCACAGAGCCAGCCTGCAGACCCGGACCCGCCGCCAGACCATCCTCAGCCCCAGGCGCAGGCGCACGCGTTCCCGGAGCTCCTCCCCCGGACTCGGCCCGGGACAATCTGGGTAATGTAGTTTACCCCTCGAGAAGGCCGTCCCGGAGGTCACGTGACAAGAGCACCAATTGGTGCGTTTCTTACTTAGAAACTGGATTTGGGCCAATGAGAAGCCGGCTTCGTTTTTCTCGGGACTTGGGGCATTGGCAGCCATGGCGCCACCCGTGAGGTACTGCGTCCCCGGTAAGTGAACAGTGCCCATAGCGAATCCTGGATAGGGACATAGGAAGGAAGGCTGGATGGCCAATAGGTCCTGGGCACCCGTGGCTGATGCAGCGTTTATTTCTGCAGGCGAACGTCTGTGTAACTTGGAGGAGGCCAGCCCAGGCACCGGCACTTACACCCGGCACGGCTACATCTTTTCGTCGCTTGCTGGTTGCATGACAAAGAGCAGCGAGAACGGCGCGGTAAAGGAGGCTTCTCATCTCTGTCTGTCCGTTAGGCTGCCTTTGATTTCGCATTGCTTAGGCAGGGCCACTGCGGACGCGTCTTTAGTGCTTCAGTAGAAGAGTTGACCTCTTAAGTTTCTTCCAGCTGTGGTCCCTGCTGCTGGGCACTTAGCCAGCACAGACCATTGTATTGGTCATGCTTGGTTGTGTTGCTTGACACTCAGGGAAGCAAGTTGGGGGAAGAGCAGAGCTCAGCCCTGCAGTTAGCTGAATCCTGTCTGAATATCACCTACCTGTTTGGCTTCATCCATATTCCCACCTCACTCTGCAATCTAGTCAGTCCTATGAAGAGGTTTCTTTCAGTGTCGCTGATGCGCCAGGTTCTCTCCTACCACAGAACCTTTGTCCAAACGCCATCTGTCTGGAACACTCTCCTCTCGTCCTTAGACTCTTTAATCTCTACCTATCCTTCAGAGGGCCTCTCTAAATCTCACTTTCTCAGAGCAGCCCTCCTAGACTCATTAGCTGAAGAAAGGGATTTTGTTTTTTGTTTATTGTGTGTTTCGTTAAAACACAATGAATTTTATTCCTTTCCTTCCAAGCACTTAGCTCAGCATATAATTAAACACTCAGTTCCCCAGTAGACTCTTCCCCTACTAGACTGAAGATCCGTGAAAGCAGGCCTTACCACCATATCTCAGAGACTACCACAAGGTAACTGTTCCATAATCATTTGTTGAATGCATTAGTAAAACTATCCTTCCTAGTGCTGGAGGCTGATCTAGGATTAACTCAGGATCAGATAAGCAGACTTTGAAGGAGCAGCTTAAGGACAGGTAGCATAGTAGAAAGAGGATTCAGAATTAGAACACTCTTAGATGCTGGCTAACTAAACCTTGATTCTGCTTTAGGTAGGAAACAAATGCTCTGGCTTTCAGTTCTTCCTCATCTGTAAAATGAGAGGCTTTTTATTCAGTCAGTTTTGGGAATGTCCTTGACATTCTTCAGTTTGTTCATTTCATAGATACAGATATCTGTTGAGCATGTTCATGTGCCATGCTCAGTACTGACCTCTAAGGGTGTGGTAATGAGCCAAATGTACAAGGGGCACAGGCAAATTGTAAACAAATGTTCAAATACGATGACTACTTTAAAAGAATACTACAGGATACCGTGAGACCATGTCATAAGCAAACCCACCCTAGCCAGCGGAAGTGACATTTAACCCGAATCTAAAGAATATGTAAGAGTTGGGTGGGTGGGAGGACTCAGTCCTGGTGGAAAGAACAGGTTGAACAGAGATCCTGAGATGGGAAGAAATTTAATGAGTTGATGAAACTGGAAGAAGGCCAGGAGAGCTGAAGCATAGTGAACAAGGGAGAGAGTAATAAAAGATGAGGTTCAAAAATACTATCTGTCTTATTCCGATAGTCAATACCGTGCTCAAAGAGAAAATTCTACGTGTATTCCCTTAAACTAGAAGTAAACAAGTATGTCCACTGTTATATAGCATTTATTTAGAAATTCTAGCCTGTATAATAAAATGAGAAACAGAAGCAGTATAACTGGAGGAAAGAGTCAAATTATCCACGATTATAGGTCAATACTTGTGTTCCAAGAAATTCCAAGAAAATCAAAAACTTGTTAGAGCTAATCTGAAATGGTTAGATTATGTCTTCTAGCAGCATTCTTCCTGTGGCTCCTTGGCCTTCCTGTTTCCTAAAATTTCTAGGCTTTCTGCTCTAGGCTACAAATGAATTTATTCCACCTGCCCTCATGACTTCAACTAAGGCATTTTTGTATTACTCTTAAGCCACAAATAACTTTACCCAAGGCTTAGCTAGGATGCTCACGTTTTATTGTTTTCTTTGTAGCTTCCTGTCGTGTCTGTGATGAGAGAAACGGAGTCCCAATTACTGCCAGATGTGGGGGCTATTGTAACCTGTAAGGTAAGTTAGTCCTAACTTCCCTGCTTAGGACACCTGTCCAATGCTGAAGTCATGATCATTGTAGAACTGCACTGTTCAGTATGGTAGCCACTAGCCACATATGGCCATTTAAATTTAAGTAAATTAAAATTTGAAGTTTATTTATCAGTTCCACTAGCCACACCTCAAGTGCTTAATAGCCACATATGGTTAGTGGCCGCCATATTGGTGAACACAGAACATTTCTATCATCACAGAAAGTTTCACTAGACCAGCGGTTCTCAACCTTCCTAATGCCATGACCCCTTAATACAGTTCCTCATGTTGTGGTGACCCCCAACCATAAAATTATTTTCGTTGCTACTCTATAACTGTAATTTTGCTACTGTTGTGAATCGTAATGTAAGTATCTTTTTGTTTTCTGATGGTCTTAGGTGACCCCTGTGAAAGGGTCGTTCGACCCCCAAAGGGGTCGCGAACCGCTGCGTGACTAGACTGTGCTGGTCTTGAGCTTCTAGGATAATCATCAAGGTAGCCAAGTTCAGGCTTGCATAGTTCTTTCACAGAGCTGGTTCCCTGAGTATATATAGTTTTACCTGTGTCTGGGAAATAGGGGCACCAAAGGATGGTAAGGAGGCCTTTTTTTTTTTTTTTTAAAGATTTTATTGGGGCATTGGGGGAGGGGAACAGTGCTGGGGAATCGGGGGAAGGCGAACAGACAAGTTGCTGTGCTTTTGTTCTTCAGTCTAGTTGTGGAAATTGTCGCTTCACTGGCCCGTGTTGGTATTATCATTGCACTCTTCCCGAGTGAGGCAGATCGGTCGCCGGCCGCTCACAGCGGCTCTTGGCAGCTCACACCGGCTGCCGGCTGCTCATGCTGGCTGCCAGCCACATGGTAGCTCATGGCAGCCCACTGCAGCAGGGGCTGCAGCCTATACCGGCACCTCACAACAGCCCAGCTCCAGGTTGAGCAGTTGTTCAGCATCTTAGCTGTAGAGAGCAGTGTCACTGGCCCTCATATGGGATCCGAACCGGGGCTCTGCTACTCAAAGTTGGCGTCCCAAGCCAGCTCTTAACCAACATGCCACTTGGCCAACCTGGCCTTCTTTTTTTTAAAGATTTTATTGGGGAATTGGGGAAGGGGAGCAGCCAAATTGTTGTCCTTCAGTCTTAGTTGTGGAGGGTGCAACCAGCTCAGCTCCAAGTCCAGTCACCATCAGGCTGCCTATTGGCAGCTCACGGCTGAGAGGTGTCGTGTTCAATCTTAGTTGCAGGTAGGCGTAACCCATAATCCCATGTGGGAGTCGAACCGTTAACCTTGTTAGGAGCATGTGCTCTCACCAGCTGAGCCATCCTGCTACCTTTTGGCAGCTCATTGGCAGCTCAGCTCAGGCGCAGCTCACTGGCCCATGTGGGAATTGATCCGGCGATCCTGTTGCTCAGAGTTTGCGCTGTTAACCAACTGAGCCACTCGGCCGGCCCGCAGGAGGCCTATTTTTGAACATCTGAAATGAGACCTTTTTCTGCAGAGAAGCAAAAAAGGCTTTAATACTGTAGCATTTCTATTAAATGTAAAGACTTTTAGGATGTTTCATGGGAAGTACAAATTAATGCTGTAATGATCAGTAACTGTAATATATCATCCTACCCTCTACCAGGTTAAATTAACTTGGAGCTCTTGGTTTCTTTCTTTATAAGTTGCTCCAGCAGAAAACTTATGTGTAATTCCAAAAATAACTAAAGACACAGTAATCCAAATATTATGCAGCAGCTGAAACGTAGACTTAAATTCCGTCCACTATACAGGCCTGTGTTAAAGGTCTAGGTTTGCTCTAATGCCCTGTGTCTATCTATATATTTATTTATGTTAGACTTCTGTGTTTTTCAAATTTTTTCTAGACCATATTATTTCATTTGATTCCCACAGCAACTCACTTGGCCAGAGTGGCTCTTATTGCACTTCACATATATCACTTTTGCAGGGATAAGGAGGAGTTGACGTGGCTTAAATTCTCTGCTTAGGTTGCTTGGATGAAAATCCTGATGATTCCTAGTTTACTGCTGCCTCCTTGAGCTGACAACTGCGAACACTCTAAGCTGATCCTTTCTCTACTCCACAGGTCTCTAGCATCAATTCACGCTTCGCCAAAGTACACATCCTGTATGTGGGGTCTACACCACTGAAGAACTCTTTTCGAGGAACTATCCGGTAAGAAGTGTGCTTGTCTTCACACTTGCCTCAGCACCCCGAATGAGATTGGAATTTTTAGAAACAATTACAATTCGTGCTCCTGTGTATTTCTTTCCTCTTCGTGCTTTGATTCACCCAAGTAGTGTCCAAAGAAAAGACTAGAACGTATGAGTTAGGACAAAAGGAAAATAGTAATGAGATAGGGTATAAGAATAAAGCAAAAAGAATTGAGCCAAGCTGAAGGTTATCAAAATAGAAAGCATTTTAGGATGTACTTTCCTTTCTTGAATTTAATATAGATTAAACCCAAGGATTGTAAGACATTACAAAGGTTAGTGGGCGAAACGGTAGATTTTTTTTTTTCCTGTGGATTCTTCTTTGAGAAGGGACAAACCATTCTTACGAGACAGATAATTTAACTTCTGAGGCCCTTTCCTGCCTCATGATTCTGTGTGGTTCTATAGTGCTTGTG